AGAAGGCCATTTGCTACAACAGTGGACTGAGGCTTGTTTGGTTCTGGCTTATTCGGCTTGAAATACACCTGCAACTGTTTTATTACAAGTATACTTTGTCAGTATTTGGATTAATCAAAACAAAAAACTTATCCAATCTCGGAAAAAACAAGCAAAGCTATGAGCTTTTATAATGAGAAGCACTTACAGTGAACATCTTTGAGTCTGGATCCCAGTGAGAGAAAAACTTTGGGGTTGATTTATCTATCTCCGTGCTAGGAACCTGAAACAGAAGCGAAACATGACCATCAATATCAGCACACAAATTCCAGTAAGATATGTTGAGATATTAGAGCTGTAAATCAGAATGGCGCCGATAAAGAAAAGAAACATACCTTGAAGGCTATGATTTCATATGGCTCAGCAGCAAATAGAAGGTACTGATATCTCTTGTCATAAGGTTGAACTTTCTGCACACAAAAAGGAAGATAACTATATTCAAAATGGACGATCGACGAAGGAAAAAAGATAACCATTATAAGAAACATAAATAAGAATTCGAGAAACGCACCTGCTCAAAAGATGACATCACACGATGCTTTGGTTTTATGTTGTCCTCTATCTCGGGATACTCGATCTGTTAAACAACAAAAAAAAAAGCACATCAAATTCAGCCCATATAAGTCTCGAATGATTCAAGATAGAGTTCAAGTGTAACAACAATACACATACCTGGAACAGGAGAGATCTCTGCATCAACTCGGGATCGAACTGCTTTGTAACCCGGTACCCAGGTCTACCAATCTTAACTGCAAAAACATACAAAAGATGAAGTTTTTAGTATCCAAGCCCTTCAAAAAAGCTGATACTTTGCCAAACCTATATATGTAATGTACCCAATCACTGAGATCATAGCAAAAGATATACAATTCTGCAATCACATATAGACCATTCACTCTATCACATTATATCCAATTTCACATCATCAATGACAATAAAGCTGTGATTCTATAAACTAGATCAACAACATAAAGAGCAACTTATTATTACCTGTTCTGCGAACTGAGACTGTTCGCTTGTGTGGCTGCGGCTTAGTCGGAGCATCTTTCGCCTCACGAGCAGCTCTCTTTGCCAAGTTAGTCTGATGCCTCTTACCTTGAGTATGCGCTAAGTAGTTTCCTTCGTTGTTATGCAGCGTTAGACATAGTTTACACTCATAGCTTCACAAAAAAACAAGAATCAAAGTCAGTATCTTCAGGGAGAGAAAAAACACAAAAACCCTAATTGAAGAAAACACCAATCCAATTCAACTCCGGAATTTAGATTTTGAACATATATACAAGAACATATACAAAGAAACATACCTTCCAAGGTGATTTCGCATGAAATAAGGATCTTTCGCGAGATCAATGGTTTCAAGAGCAAGTCGACGGAGACGCTCACGGCGATCGATGGCCTCGTTTTGGCCGGAGGCGGCGCCTCCACTGCCAGGCTTCGAACCCCATTCTCTATCCATAGCTTATAGCTTCAATCTCCGTTCACGATCCCAAATCCTCAATCG